ATCTGTAAGGGCTTGTAAAGTAAATTGTTACTTTTAGTAAACAAATATGTATTTATAAATTGTTAATAAATAATTTGAATTGTTAAAACGAAGGAAATTTTTTTTTGTAAAAATCAAACATTTTAAAATAATTAACATTAAAAATAATTTATTTCTGCAGTTTTATCATAATAATGACATTATTTGATTTGAGAATATATTTTGATTCGAAAGTGACGTGTATATTGTATATTGACGTGTTATTATACTGCTGTGTAATGCTCGAAATTGTTTTTTTTTTGAGCTTGCAATTTATACATTGAAGTAAATTGTTACTTTTAGTAAACAAATATGTATTTATAAATTGTTAATAAATAATTTAAATTGTTAAAACAAAGGCGAATGAAACAAAAATTTTCTTTTCATAAATAATCTTTATTTTGACTCAATCTTCAATAATTTTTTTTAAGTCTTTTTCTTTTTTTGGAAGGACAAGAATCTTCAGGTTTTATTTCTTCCTCAAAACCTTCATTTTCCATTTCAATATCTTCATCCTCGATCTGTAAATTTAATGTTTCTTCTCCTTCATCTGTAGCTATATCTTGTGCCTCCAAAAAATCTAAGGAATCCATCGACTCCATATCCATATCTCGTTCAACTTCTTCCAATATTTTATTGTGATCAATATTTTTACATGTTTGACCATTGCAGTGAAGACAATAGTCAGAACATTTGAGACCATGTTTGATACAACTGCATGTTTTTGTACAAAGTTTTTTACATTTGCAACTAATATTTCTGAATAATGAGTCAGGTAGTAATACTTGCTCAGTTTGTATTGGCTCAAGACCATTTTGAGTTAGTTCCCACCCCCACTCAGTAGCATTCAGGTTATTTCCAAGCCACTGCTGTACTTGGAAATATACACGAAGCGAGTGTTGCTCAGCTGCAGATTGTGTAGGTGGCAGCATGGACAATTGAAAATTTTTATTTTTGCAACCTTTTTTAAAGCACAAGTAGCGAATTTTATTCAATGTAAAATCGCACTTTGAGTGGCCCATATACAATGCCGATATAATTTTGCATCCGCTGCGTTTAATTTCTTCCTTAGTGGCACTTTTTTCATTAAAAATGGTTGCTTCTTGCCATATATCATTATTTGTTGAAACCAATTTAACAATTTTGCTTTTTCCTTGATAAAAAAATGCAGAGGTTGTATCACAACCAGAAAATGCGTGTAAAAAGCCCACTAAATTTTTTAACGAAGATTTCGTAGATTCACTTATTTTAAGTGCATTATTGAAAGAGTTGTAGTCATAAATTTCTTCCGATTTTTTTCCTTTGCTAGGTTTCCAGAAAAAAATATTTTTATTTTCAGTTACTTTTTGTAAAAATATTACCAGAACATCAATATCCTCTGCAATTATAAAAACTGGCTTGTTATCTGAGGCTAATATATACTTGATACTCGCCGATTCACATTTGAAGTGAATGTCCCTCATCACCACCTCTCATGCATTCCGAGCGACATATTACGCGAAAACGGTTTTTTATTTGTCTTTTTTATGGATATTGCCATAAAGCGCATTACGTAAAACTTTTCATATAAAAAGTATTTGACAAGACGAGGGTATTTGTTTAAAAACGAGCCCTCTATCACTTATGGTTACACGGCAAATGTATGCCAACTTTGACCTTCAATATCTCGGCAACCAGTAAGCCGAATGTATCTTTTTGTTTTTTAAAAGAAGCGTCTTTTAATGTTCTTTAAGTGTATACATTTTGAAATTGATATGTTTAAAGCTCGTAAAGTTATTTAATTTGTTTATAAGCCTAAAAAATGTTTATAACTTTAAAAAAATTTATAGGCTTTCCTAGTAAACCGATTTGAATTTTACAAAAAGCGTTTGAAAGTGTGAGACTTCCTTTATATGTAAAAAAAATTGCAACTATCTGAGGGCCTTATTTAGGGCCTACTATGAATTTGAAAATTTGCGATTTTTTTCCAGTAGGCTGGATTGCAAAATTATTATGCAAAACCTATCCGACCGATCTTAACAAAATTTAGCACACGTTTTAAACATATTAAAAAGTTTTTCTAGGCGGAATATGGAACTTGTAAGTCAAGTTTAGAAAGTCGAAAACATTTAAAGGATTAACTTCATTTTTTTGTACTTTTTTTTCCAATTATTGCTATTTTTTCAACAATAACCATTAAATTTTCAATTTCTAGCTAACAAAATATTGTGTAAAATTTAATAACGAAACTTTTAACCACTTATAATTTTTTCTCTAAGATCAATATTTTTCGAATTATAAATGAAAATAGGAGCAAAAAAATGAGAAATTTTCAATTGTTTTCAGATTTTGTTAAATAAAAAATTTAGCACAGGGTTTGCGACTGGCGCATATCGTGATTATCGATACTGGGCATATCCTGAAGGGATTCCAGCAAAAAAATAGCTTCCCTCGAAAATTTCCATTATGGTCTGAATTTCTACAGATGCCGCCTAGTCTAAGAATGAAGTGGTTTTAAAAGAAAACATATTCGTTTAACGAATGTTATAGCCCCAAACATAATTAATTACCAAAAGGGTAATTTCAGTTTAAGGGCCTTAAGGGCCAATAAAAATTAATAATCCCAAGACATAGTTAAATTAAAATACAGGCACGTAATAAAGAAATTCAACCTGATACAATCGTCCTGTTTATTCTATGATCTTAGCTTTTGTAATGTTGGTATTCAGCTGTGATACCACCTCTTCGGCATATTCCTAGTGGTATTTTTGTATTGTTCTGGATTTATCTGTTTTTTTTTATTATTCTTTTATTTCTGTATCTTCAATTTCTTTGCTACTTACCAAAACAATATTCTGAACTACTAGAATCATATATATCTGACAGATACTTTCGAGTTAAATATGAGGAAGCATATTCAGAATTAAGAGAAGTTAAAGCTGGAGTTCCACAAGGAAGTGTCCTGGGGCCAGTGCTATACCTGCTCTATACCAGCGATATTCCATCATTAGTAACCTAATACAATTGCGACATTTGCAGACGACACATGCATACTAGCAGTCGGACAAAACCACGAGGATGCAGCTACCATGTTACAGAACTTTGTTGAACAAATTAACATCTGGACCAGCCGATGGCGTATCAAATTGAATGAAACAAAATCTGTTCATGTCAATTTTACTAACAAAAGAGAACAACATATCCCAGTACATATAAATAGAAACCAAATACCTTATGCAAATACGGCAAAATATTTGGGTTATGACGTTAGATTCCAAGCTACGTTGGAAAGCACATGTTAAGAAAAAAAAAGAAGGAATTAGAAATTAAGTTCAGAAAGATGTACTGGTTGATGGGAAAAAAATCCACTCTGTCTATTTACAACAAATTGCTATTATATAAGCAAGTACTTAAACCGATATGGACATACGGAATACAGCTATGGGGCTGTACAAAAGAAAGCAACATCCAAACATATACAACGATATCAGAATAAAGTATTAAGGAACATCGTTAACGCTCCATGGTACTTTAGAAAACTGTGATCTTCATCGAGACCTCCAGATGGATACAGTTATCCAGACAACAAGTAAGTTTGCCGAGAGTCGTGAACAGAGGGTCTCCAACCACGTGAACGTCGAGGCCATCAAACTCCTAGACAACGCCAACCAGATAAGAAGACTAAAGAGAACGAAGCCGTTTGATTTAGTGCTATAAGTGAGTGAAAGTGAAAAAGCAGAGTAAAGTGCGGCTAAAGTGTACACGTTAGCTAGTAGTACTATAATGTATTAGAGCCTAAGGAATATTGCTGAATATAACCTTAGATAAGTTTCTTGTAATATTTATAATATAGAACTAACTTGCTTATTGATCATAGTACAATGATCAGATAGCAATACTCATAAGATTCCTGTTGGAGTTTTTTAAAACAAAAAAAAAAATTATTGCAGTTTTTCTTTTGTCATTTTCTTGTGATGTTGGTATTCAGCTGTGATACTACCTCTTCGGATATTCCTAGTGGTATTTTTGTATTGTTCTGGATTTATCTGTTTTTTTATTATTCTTTTATTTCTGTACCTCCAATTTCTTGCAGTTTTTTCTCTGTAAATTTTATATATTTGTTTTTTATACTGAACAGTTTTAGAGACTCTAATAATCATTGTTTTATTCTTAATGTATTTCAGCTTCTTTATATACTTTGGATATTTTTAAACATTATCCATATTTTAAGGGGACAGGAAATCATTCGTGACAGCTACATGATCCTACCCATTTTAGATTAGGGTTAGCTCCAAATTAAATTAGTTTGCGATCAAATTAAGTACATTATCTGGTCACCCTAGTCATAATATGTGTACACAATATGTACAATGGCATCATTAATCAGGCATAGGTATGAAAATAATTTTATAGTTAAACTGCGAAATAAGAGTCTCGCATATAAAAGATCTACACACAGTTAAACCCGACTTTTTTTAAGTATATATTGTTCTATAATCTAGTGTTCTGTCTCAGTAGTTATGGGGAATAAAATTTAGAATAAACCTAGGTTTAGAATAAGTAAATAAATTTCGAATAAATGATATGTAGGCGGTTCTGGAGACTTGGAAAATACTTCACATAACTATATAAAGGGGAAACCTTTTCAAGTTTATAACGTTACAGCACTATAAATTACACCAATAATATATTATTATTATTTTATAATATGTTTATAATGTAAAACCATAGTTGAAATGTTACATTTTATTATAAGTAAAATATATATTTGGGCTTTTGCACTTAATCAGAAGTCGTAACTATTCCACGAGGTACAAGCTATGTGGTAATATCGCAATTTTTAAATAAATGAAGCGCTATTTTTAAAAAATTCAGATATTTTTATTTCATATTAAAATATGTATTTATCTTTTTAATTTTCTGCAGCCAAATATAACTTCATTCTTATTCAGAATCCAGCTCTATTTTAAAACTTTATTATACAATAATCTAATATTTCATAGATTGCTCAAAGAAAAACAAGATAATGAAGAAAAGGCCAAAAGCAACATCTCACCTCCGATGTTATCTCCAACGTCTTCCACAATTCGATCACCACCGCCCATAAGCGAGGAACCCTCCACGGAAGAGACAATCGGTGCAGGTCTCCCTCTCCTCCAGCGGATCCTTATGCTTAAAGCCAAAGAGGAAAAGGCTAGAGCCGGTAGAACAGTCACTATGGCTCCTAAAAGTGTGACGGGGCAGTTGTTTAGCGGAATGAGCCTGGGAAAAAGTAAGTGCATAACTACAGTACCCTATTTTACGGTTAACTTAAAAGATATTGTTAAATCAGATATTTACAACTCAGTCAAGACTATTTGGTATCAGTGGTTACAATTTGACAAAATCGTAAATTTTTGTAAAAATTTTCAATCTTTCAAATTTTAAATGTGTTTATCCTTGTAACGAAATTCGCGTTATATATTGTATCTTAAAATTATACCAAGTATAGCAAAAATATTTTTATACTAGGCTTTTAGGGAGAACTCATTCCTGGAGGGAAAATATGTTTGGCACCACTGATATAGTCGGTCACCAGATTGTCAAATAGAAAACCAAAATAATCATACAGTCTAGCCGTCAGAGATTTGACCTCTAAAAATCAGACGAACAAGCTGAATTTTACTGAGAATACCAATTAGTTGACTTTCTGCAGCAAAAAAAAATTCACAGCTTTATTCATGGTACCGCTTTGAATAGTGTTTAAAAATTATATGCAGAATGGAACTAGGCCACAACAAGTGCATGCTGTACACAAATGCACACCAACTAGTGTATGTTAGTTCAGGCACTGAACCAACATACACTACTTGATGACTCAATGAAGTAATCCAAGAAATAAAAGATTCAAGTCGTATGGTTCCATTAAACAAAACTTAAAAACTTAAAAACAAATAATATATAACATAAAGTATTAATTATTAACAACTATTGTGTGGTGACAAATTTTCTAAATAATGATTATTCCTTCAGAGGACAACATATACTAAATTTGGTTTTAATTGTTTCAAAAGCGGAAAATGACGTTAGCTTGTGTCAGATATTTTCTCATGTGTCATCTTCTAGAGATGTTGACAACCACATTGACCCTTATCTACAGCAGCTCGAATAGATTAGTTGACGTTAGACCAGTCCGCTTTCCTAAGATTGGCTAGCCAGGATATATATGTCTACGTCCAAGCCGCCCCTCTTACCCTCAATCTTGCCTTGTAGAATCAACTGTAAAAGTTGGTATTTATTATTACGCATAATGTTGCCGAAGTCAGCCAATTTTCTGTTCTTTACGGTGTTAATAATTTCTTTGTCTTTTCTTAGCCGCTGGAGAATAGTTATGTTACTTTTGTGATGTGAGACCCTCAACATACGTCGGTATCACCACATTTCAAATGCCTCTAATCGTTTTATGTCATTTTCTGTAAGGCTTCAGCGTTCTACTCCATCAAGGGACACTAAAGACCTAACATCTAAGAATTTTTATGCGTATATTGATAATTAAAAAAAAGTTGCAGAAAATCTTACTAAGGCTGTTGCAAGATCTTCTGGTTTTTTCAATACAAGTTTTTATTTCCTAGCTGTAACCCCAAGTATCCTTAACCTTGCTATACTGTTCGGATCTGTTCGACAAAAAAAAAATTTTATTTTCTTTATTACCTCATATGAGTTCTTTGAACTGCATACGAGATAAAAAATCAACTTCTGATTTTTTTGATAAAAATTAAATTTTACCGTAATCAGTAGTACGTTTAGGTCAATAGGACCAACGTATTGAAACCGTTAAAAAGTACCTGTATCCGTATGGTTAGTTGGCAGTATTTTATATATTTTCTAACAGTTTGTCAGTCAGGTACGCCTATAAATAGAAACAAGTTTTTGCAAGCTAGAACTTGTAAAAACTGTGTAGTGCAGCTGGACGATGTTATTTAGAAGAGCATGTCACGTAGAAGAAAGTGGGAGTGATAGACAAGTGGTAGGCTGGTAGGACACTGATATGCCAAGTGCATTCATTCACATTTCAGATTTCAGTCTATATTTACTTGATGATAATGTCGCATCAAAGAACGCTAACCGAAGATGAGCTTCGCGAGCTCGCGAACGTGTCAGAGAGTGATGAGTGCATATCAGAAACAGAAAACAATACAAGTAGTGAGAGTGAGAAAAAAAGTAGTGAAAAACACTAGTGAAACCACTTGTCCTTTCCAGGAAGAATTTACCAAGAACTAAAGACTAACAAGAACTGGAAAAAGGAACACGAACAGAAGCGAGTAAAAAAGATGGAAATTCTAGTGAACCGTCTATGGACAATCCAACTCCGCCTGCTAGGGCATGCTGAAAGCATGCTCGTTTAGCATGCAAAAACGATAACAAGACTATTTTATGTTGTAGATATCACAAACATATTTGTAAATCCCATTCTTTTTATTACTGTCCCATTTGTAAACTAAATTAAATTTTGTAGGTATTTATTCTTAGGCTTTTCTGCGAAAGAAAAAAATGCCTTTTATTTTTGTTAAAAAGGTTTAATTTTCATTAGCAACATAATTTCTGTTTAATTAACTATAATTTTTTGTTGAAAAAGTTTTGTTTAGCACCATTAGCTTATTTTATTTCGATTAAAGACCGTAAACCACAGTTAAGTCATGTTGACCCAAACGGTACATTTGCATAGTTGACTCAAACGGTACAGCATGTTTAATATTGCAGCCCAAATAGCATATTTTTTTCACTTTTTCCAACGGTGTATCGCCTAATCTAATTTTTGCGTTTATGTTGGTCTACTTACTGATGATCATTATTTTTGTCTTTTTGCAATTTAGTTTTAGGCCGTATTTTTTACATGTTTCTACAACGTTATCCATTATCCTTTGGAACATCTGCGCACTATCTACCAGCAACGCTGTATCGTCTGCATATCTTATCTGCATTAAAGTCGGTAGTATTTCCTATACTGTGTTTATTATTTACAACCGGTCCGATACATATTATTTGGCGACGTGAATGGGATCCGTGTGTGTGCCAGTTTAAGTGCATTATTTCGTCTCGGTAATAAATAAAGCAAATTGTGTGCAAGATGGCGGCATTCGGAAACATCGAACAGTTTAACGTGGGTGACTCCAAAGGTTGGGAATCATACTTCAAGCGTATGGATTTTTTCTTTTTGTCAAATAATATTACAGACCCTGATAGGAAAAAAGCTACATTTTTAAGTTTGTGTGGTCCCAATACATATGAGATTATTAGATCTTTGGTCGCGCCGTCCAAAGTGTTTGATAAAACTTATGACCAAATCATAGCTGAGTTAAGAAAGCATTTTTCTCCAAAAACGTCGGAAATTGTGTGCAGGTTTAAGTTCTATCGTCGGAATCAACAGACTGGTGAAACAATATCTGTGTATCTAAAGGAATTACGAAAATTGGCAGAACCCTGTGGTTTCGGAACTAGCCTTGACATAATGCTACGTGACCGACTCGTTTGTGGTATTACCGACGAATCGCTACAGCAAAAGTTGCTAGCCACAGATAAGTTAAAACTTAAGGACGCGCAAGACCTGTGCCTTGCACACGAGGTGGCCGTGGAAAGTTTGACCAGTGCTACGAGAAAGTGAGTCGAGCGCAGATGTAAACGCGGTAAGTTTTCGTAAAAATCAACCGGGCCAGTTCAAACAACAATTAGCTAATCGAGAAAGAAAGAAATGTTTCGGTGCGAAAAAGAACATTCTCCCGAAACTTGTGAACACATTAAATCAACCTATGTATATTGCAGGAAAATTGGACACATCGAAATAACTTGTTTTGCAAAAAAGAAGAACCAAAATCACAAACGCAAAGTACATCAGACTACCGTGGAATCTACGTCCAATATCGAGCCAGTTTCGGGGAACACTCAGAGTGTTTTTTATCAAAGTAAGTGACAATATGAATTTACGTATAATAAGCGTGATAAGTCCTGATAGTCATTACCGGAAAAAATTATTAATTTAGTAATAGTGTAGGCTTAACTAAATTGACCCCCAAAGTATCAATGGCTGACAATGGACCGTTGACTCGGGCGCTAATATTCCACAGTGATACATGTCAAAACACCTAACAAATCTCCCCATCGAAAACTATAGTGAAAATCTGTACACTAAACATATAGATAAATCTAGTGTTTATTAATAATGGACAATCAAAAACACAGTGATACCCACACTGGGTAACGTGTCAAGTAGAGTGATTAAAGGAGAGTGTCCAAGATCAGTCACGACCACTTCCTCATCATAGACACGGAAGGAAATCGTGCCAGTCTACTCAGGCGAGGAAACATGGTTTGAATAGAATGAGGTATAAAACCTCATTAGCTGGGGAAGGTCACATGTTAAATCAATGATAAATGTAGTACAAAAGAATACCCAGATGTATTGTAAGTACAGATTGTGGGGTCTTACCGGGGTCCCCCAGTAAGTTTTTTCGTTGGACACAAAATGTAAAGTAGCCGAGATTATCATTGTAAAAGGTCACGAAACGTTCCCATTTGGCCTTGCGCAAAAGAAAAAATCAAAAGTTGTAAACATGGCAGTTCAGGCTAAATGCGAAAGTGGTGTGTTTTTAGAATAGCCGATTACGCACCCAAAATTGGAGCACTGACTGTTAGGCAAAGAAAACGAAGAGATAGGTATATTGTGGTGACTACCAAGTCCACATATGAATTAAGCAATAAAGATCCGGAACCATAATCAGTGCACGGTACGTGTACAGGGTATTCCTTAATACACACGATACGTGTTGGCGGAAAAAGATTTGGCAAAACTGGACATAGCTGCACGCTTATTCTGCAGTTAAGTTTGATACAACACGCCGCGAAGCTGCAGAAGCACAAACAATACTAACGCATAAACGCGGGGTCTCACCTGCTACCAATAAAGGCAATACGTATAACCGATCGGTAATATCAGATGGCCCTAACCAGAAGTTATAACAAAAATTCATAGACAGCTCGAAATACATGGGTTATTCCAGGTTGTACAACCTTATATACGATGACATTTATTAATAGTTGTTAGCTCAGAAAAAAGACCTTGGATTCCAAAAGTTGCGGCGCGTATTATCGCGTTCCCCAGGAAAGACGGACTGCATTGTGTCAAAGAAAAAGTTGGCGTTTTTTTTTCTGGACACAAAAAAAAACTATAGAGTTTCTTGGTTTTACAAGAAATTAGTGAAGACACAGTATACGGCCCCAACTTAACAAGACAACATGATCGCAACCCTCAACTAATGTGCGCCAACTGCTCCAAGACCAATAAAACCCAAGTATGCAAGCTTTTTCGTGTGGACATTATTAAATTTTATAATCAAGTAATTCTCCCTAAAAGGACAAAGCAACAGATTGCGAATCCGTTAACATCAATTAACGTGCAACCATCTCCTTCGAAAAGACGTTCTCTGTTGTCAGTGGCGTTTATATAGAAACCAAAAGCTTTGTAAATATTATTGAAAGAAAATTTAAGCGAAAGAACCTGAGTTATGCAATACAGAGAACCAAAAAGATAATAAATTATTTTTGACGTAGTGATTGGCCAAGCCCATACGGGGTAAGTGTTTGTGCTTAGTCAACCGTGAATGATGTAGGGCGATGAATATCCAGTGGCGAATATAGTCCGGACTCTAACATACTACTTGAACAAATAATGTTCCCATAAACTGACACAAGTGAAGCACTGGCCATAATAACGGGGCAATAAAGAAAAATTACCACGAAAAAGATATATGGTCCGGAAAATAAGGCGATAAGAACGGACCATAAACCAATGTATGTGTATGACTTAAACCATAAAAAGGGTGTTCCAGAGAATAACTGTACACCCAAAATGCTAATGAGGCTCATATATGTAAAATCTGTCCAATAATGAGTGATGAAATTTATGTTACGTACCGAGGTTAACAAAAATCAAGAAAATGGCAGATGCTCTTAGATCCGATTGCCACAAATCTCTGTGGCCAAAAAGACGATATGCCATATGAGACCTAAGGAAAGAACCCATTGTGTTAATCTAAAGTTTTGCAGATGGGCATGGAAAGGTAGTGGCCTGATGAGAAAATTAAATATTTCAGACGAAAATACTCCTTATCTACTACGTAAAAACAAAATTAGCCGGTTATCAAGAGAAGCCAGAAAAGGGGATACACAGGGTAAAGTATCCACCTTGGAAGATAGGAAAACAATAACGGAAATTTGCTACAAACTCAGCACATCCCCGGAATCCTGTAAAAATGAAGTGCATGGCACGCTCCCAAATTAGTTAGAGATAATAAGTTATGACCATTTACATGCAATCCCATTTTTCTTTCTGAATATGTAAATTTTTATCTGCTCAATAAAAGTAATATTGGTATTTAATTTATTTTGACTTATTAAAATTAAACGCAATCTCCTCCAAACATTACTATCACTAGGTTAACGAAAAACGATGGATGATGATATCTGACGGTTAGATACCGGAGTTCAAGATTAAAGGATTAATAACAAACTAATAAGTAAAAACTTTAAACAATAAAACAGAATTTTTTTTTTGTTTTTTTTTTTTGTTAAGGAAAGTGTAAAGAAGAACATTTCAAGTTACAAGGTAATAAACTTTCACTAACAGACAATTCTAAAGAAGAGACGACAACGAAAATAGCTGGTTTAACAAGAAAAGAAAATAAGCGTCAAGAAATTTGAAAAACGTTCATTATAACTACAAAGGTAAAACTGTTGAGAACAAATAATATAAAGATTTTAATTAATCTTGTAAAACGAATTGCTACGTAAAAGTATCCACAAATGTAAGAGAAGAACAATCTACGATATTATTCAGAGTTGGCAGATTACAATGCTCAAACAGCCTCCACTGGTGCTTTCGTTTCATGAAATCGAACATATTGCAGAAAATACTTGTTAAATAAAATACAATTATGTCGCAACTTATTTATTAATACGTTGGGAATTTCTACTAAACGTGTTGATACCACAATAAAAAAACTTACAATCTTCAATATTGATAAACAAGAGGACAAAAGCAGGGCAAATAAAATAAAATATCACAAGAAGAAAAACAAGAAATAATTAATCAATTTGACAGAATTCCAAAATATATGAGCCATTATCGCAGATTGTGGTCTTGGAACAATTGGGATTGCACAAATTTTGCTCCCGGAAATGACACTAAACTAATGTATAATAAATACAAATATGATACTAATAAACCTGTTAGCTTTGTCGTATACAAACATATCTTCACCGCCGATTTTAATTTAAAATTTAAGAGTTTCAGAAAGACACTGATTATACCTGCAATCCTTATCAGGCAAAAATAGCACTTAAGAGGATGAGGAAAAAGTAAAGTTAGTAAATGAACACGATATTCATATCAAAAATTAGCAAGAAGCCAGAGCAAAAATATAAACAAGATTTGAATACTGCTACTAACAATAAAACAGTAGAATATTTAACATTTGACTTGGAAAAATCTTTACCCCATCCATACCTACCAACTGAAGTTTTATTTTATAAAAGGTAAATTTGGCTGTACAACTTAGGCTTTTACTCTGAAAAGAGCAAAAAAGGATCGTGCAATGTATGGACAGAATATGAACCTGGTCGTGGTTCTCACGAGGTAGGAGAATGTATTTTAAATATATTAAAATCATTTATCTAACATCATAGGATCTAACTTTATGGTCTGATTCATGTGAGGGCTAAAATAAAAACATAAAATTAACTCTTAGTGATGAAACTGCACTTAAAACTCATGAATCACTTAATAAAACCTAGATTATACCTGCTCGAAAGCTTCATAACTGTAATGAAAAATTTCAGACATAGAAACAAATTCAATGCCGTTGAAATGAATTCTGATTTTTTTAGTATAGTAGAAATAGAAAAAACAAATCTATACCAGAAAAGTTGACATAAGCAAACAAAAAGTTATTTAAACAAATCCACAAGGAAAACAATTCCTGTAGCTGGCTGTATACCACGTATCACAAAAAAGAGGTTAGTCTTCGTAAATGAGTATATTTATTTAAATAAAACCCCTTAAAAGGGCTACATCAAAAAAACAAAACGTTTTCGGACTAAAGAGTCCATCATCAGGTTTAAATTTTAAAATTGCATTGGTTAAAATGCCTGAGCCAACCAAAATACCTGGGTAAAAAACCCATTAAATTACATATAGTTGTAAAAGATTATACATCATGTAAAAAAACTGTGATGTTTAGTATTAAATTAAATATGACTTCAGGTAACATACATGGCTGAAGTGAGTTCCGGAGCCGAGAGTAAATATCTCACACGGAGAACAGCTGGTTACTGTTACCAGTTGTTGGAAACTGGTAATTGGTAAATTGAACTGGTAACTACTACCAGCTGTTCTCCGTGTGAAGAGGTTTACTCTCCGGCTCTGGAACTCACTTCAGCCATGTATGTTACCTGAAGTCATATTTAATTTAATACTGAACATCACAGTTTTTTTACAACATGATGTATAATCTTTTACAACTATATGTAATTTAAAGGGTTTTTACCCAGGTATTTTGGTGGCTCAGGCATTTTAACCTAGCAATTTTAAAATTTAAACCTGATGATGGACTGTTTAGTCCGAAAAACGTTTGTTTTTTTTATGTAGCCCTTTTAAGGGTTTTTAAATAAATATACCATTTACGAAGACTAACCTAAAAGGTTATTTGGCTACAACAAGGAGATAATGCTAGATAAATCAAAATAATTCGATATTTTTATTAAAACAAGAGAGTTGCAGATAAAAATTATTCTAAAGTTTACATCGGTGAAAAATAATGGCCAGCAGTCACCAATAATTCCAGCCGTTTATTTAGAAAAATGTGGTCTAAAAAGTCTGGCGTACATTCAATAATAGATGATGCTCAAGAATATTACAAACATTTTAGTAGAAACTCTAAAATTACTAATGATATTGAAGGAGTTAGTGGCTGTCCTGACATTAACAGATTTGGAAATATATTTTTTTGTATGTAAGCTTTGCGTTACAATTATATTTTTTATATACTAGTATTGTTATTTAATAATTTTAATAAAACTTTTCTAAGGAGTTTTTTGTTGCATTTTTCAAAATGCACAAAAAAACGAACCCACTCGTTAAATAAATTTAAATGTACTACAATTTTTTTGTCCCAGAAAGTTTACTTTATTTTTGCTTAAGATATTTATTTGGGAGTTTGTCCTTTGCTGCAGAAAGTCGTCCTATTTTGGTTCTTCAAAAAAAATAACAAAAGTTTGTCACTCTCACACCCCAAGATGCGTCCCAAAATCTCCATCGTAGGGGGAAACGAAAACATCGATTTACCAAGAATATTACTCCAGTCATCAGAGACGAAAATGGCGCCAAACCTCTAACAAATATACAAATAAGCTGAATTTTGCCGAGCATATTAATTTTGAGATCCAGAAAAAGATGAAAAAAGGTTTATTACTTCTTCTCCCGGGTCTTCCCCCTAAAATACCCCTGGCAGAGAGGTAAAAAACGCAAAAAATTCGATTTATTATGAATCTGTACACCGTAGAAAAAAATATTTCAACTAAATAATGTAGCTGAGATTATTTTAAATAAAAATTCACTTAGAAACAACGACGAGTTGTCGATCTTGCATGTCAGTTACGCGCGCAAAATCATTGTTCAATAAAATTTGTATCAGCTCGACGGTATAAATTCGATATATTTTGGTTCAAGCGACTTATTGACAAAAATCAAAATGCGTTTTAAAGGTAAAGAGTTCAGATTTCGTATGCAGTTTTTTCCACTGTCGTTATCACCACTCAAAATTTAAATTTCATGTTATAGGTTTTAAAGATTGATCTCTAAAAATAAAAATTTTGCTACAACTGGTCAATAAAAGTGATAAATTTTATTGATCTCACGAGAATCGTAAAAAATGGCAAAAAATCGCGCCAAGTTAATTTATTTAGCACTTTTATAAAAACTGAGTTTATCTTGATTTTTATCGATAAGACATTTGGATCAAAGATATTAAATTTTTTACCGTTAAGCTAGTACAAATTTTATTGAACATTGATTTCGCGGGCGTAACTGACATGCAGAATTGACAGTTGCTTCAAGCGTTGTTTTAAAGAGAACAGTTCATTCTACACAAAAAATGCTTTTAAAACATTTTTATTTAAAATTATCTGAGCTACATTTTTTATTTAAAATATTTTTTTCTACAGTGTACACGTGTACAGATTCTTCGTAAATTGATTTTTTTGCATTATTAAAGGAGGTTAAAAATCTAGACATAGGTTTTTTTATGATTTATTATATTAATTGTTGAATTATTCTTATAGCACCTTCTCAAAATCAACAAATGACGCCTTTATTAAACGCCGTGTCTGGTAGATCATCAATTTCTGGTCCGACGAAAGGCCCTCTGTCAATGGTTACTTCCAAAGCAGCTGCTCCGGTAAAACTTCTTAATAATAAAATATCTCTAAGGTTAGTATATACATGTACATACAATACATTGATTTTTTACTTTTTTTTAATGTTTTTTAACCTTTCTTAAATTTGTGGTAATTTTGATTTGTTTGGTAATATGTGCCCAGTCTACACAGTATACTATAATAACTTTCTGGTAGTAAACTAAAAGTGTTAGGATCCTGTGTTCAACAATGAACCACTCAAAATTTAAAATTGTCTATATCAGTTCCCTTTTAACCTAGAAGCACGAAATTGTACCAGTATAAGTAACACATATTAGTAAATATATTACACATAATTTGGTTAGCAATAAAAATTAATGTTTTTGAGTTATATTGTTTTTTTTCCTTTAAGTGCCGTTGGTTCATTGTGTCCCACGGTGGTACACAATGAACTAGTGCTGCGTACGCAGTGAACCAAACTGCTTTATTTTAAACATACCTAATAAAAATTAGGTCTACAGAAACAACAGTAAGATTTCAAAGTTTTATTATATAAAAGCAAAATAATAGGTGAAAAGGACAATAAAATTGAAGATAGGTATAATTTCTATCTGATATTTAATAAAGAAAAAGACACTGTAAACGCAAAATAAGATTGTTGTCGTTTTGTGCTGCCACATAGTTTTGGTCTCGGCAAAATATATTTCACATCTTTCTTGTTGACGGAAGCTATATCAGGAACATTGGGCATAACAAACTGCTCACTATATTTATCCTTAAGTCTTAAAAATGATATGCGATATTCCCCATCTTGTTCTATCTGTAATATCTTCCCCACAAAATATACTATTGACCTTGGTGGATGAAATTCTACCAGGACATAATCTTCTACGTTAGGGTTAAAACCTGGGTACTAAACAAATTTGGATTTAAAACTGGAAGATCTTGTTCATACTCTCCACTATCACTGTCACTGTCACTCTCAAGGATATCTATTTCATCCTCCTCTGAATCTGTATTATCGTCATTAACAAAACGCACTCTCTTCTTAGCTTGCCTATTTTCATTCATTTGCTTCTTTCTTTTAGCTTCCAACCTTCTTGTTCAATAATGTTTTTTTTCCGGTGTATCTGTGGCAATAATACTTTTTTTACTTTTTCTGTTCTTCCTATTATTTTGACGAGGTTGGGCATTCAATGCAGGCATAAATTGTTGTGGTGAATAAATGATGGTCCTGCTTGACTTTCCGTATGTTTGGGGTTTTCTGATTGAATGTTATTAGTTGAAGAACTGTCATTTTCATTTGGCACAGTGATTTCATCGTTATGTTCACCTCCTCGAAGGTCTCTTGTATTATTAGAACTTTCATCATTTGGGCATGGTCTGTTTGTTACCTCACTTATCAAAAAATCCTCATCTGTAAAGATATCCCGATCAAAGGGATATATAACCGCATTTTTTAAAGGCATTGGCTATATTTGTAGGAGTCATGGAACGACTGTGTGCATTCCAATACATTCAGCTAAATCATAAATAGATATCGGCCTACCAGGATTTCTTAGAAGCCACGACTCTATGGCACTGTTATAATACGTCTTGAACGGCGCATATAAACCAACGTCAAGTGGCTGTAATTTAGCCGATGTGTGGGGATGCAAAGTTACAATATTAACCCCTGCAGCTTTTGCCAAATCTAAGGCTTCGATTGATAAGTGAGATTCATGATTATCGAATATTAAAATTGATGGATTATCATGAGAGCTTCTGCTATGTTTAATGAAATGTTTCATTACCTCTACAAACAACTCCGAATTCATCCATCCTGTCGGCGTAGCAAGGCCTAAAGAGCCAGTGGGGGCGCCTTTTAACATGAAATCCTTATAATTTTTCCGCGGAAAAATTATTGCTGGTGGTAAAGCATAACCACCGGCACATATAAAACAGCACGTTGTTACTAGTGTCCCTTTCTCACCGCTGGTGACTTTACCCAAACACTTTTTCCCTTTTGGTGCCAATATTTTCTGAGTTTTTTGCACCGTTGTGGTTGCAGTTTCATCCAAGTTGTAAATTCTTGTACCGTCAGAAAATGCGGCATTTCGATTTATTACAGCATATAAGTTGTC